CCCTGCGCCGGCCGAGGCGTAGCTGGCAAGCGGCAGAGACGGAGCAGGCCGACCACCAGCTGGCCCAGCTCAAGGGAGGTAAGGCACCCGCCGGAAAAGGGGAAAAAAATGGCGGACAGCCTTGCTTGGCGACCCCCGTGAAATGGTCGATCGACCCCAAATGGGGTCGCGACCCATAGGTTGAGAACCGCTGATCTAGTACTATTTATAAAAATGTGAGAACTTCCTCTATCAACATATGAAGATCAGGGATCCAGTGAGCAGGATGGAGAAGGTGAAACAGGGCTAGCATGGACCCCAGAGGCAATTCTCACTTTTAACTCATGTGAATTAGCTAACTGCCTGCTCAATGGTATTCCATCACAATGCTCAACATCAAACTTACCAGAGATTTGGACTGCTTTTCAAAATATTCAGTGCAGCTTCAGCAGCTCTGTGTTTTGCAATCTTTTTGCTGCGACCCTCTCCTGAAGCAATAAAAACAAAAATATATCTCTGTACAAAGCAGAATAACAATAAAGATCTCAATATCTGAATTTCAAGCAATAGTTTTCTGTTACTATTTTGTCTGGGAAAGAAAAAAGAGAGAGGCTTATAGTTCGCAATCATCATGCACTGAAATAAATTCATTTTTCAAAATATTAAAATGTAAATTCACTACCCTGATCCTACAGAGATCTGGCCAATTTACTTTTTCCAAGGGAACAAAATGGCCAATCACATTTGGCAGTATAAATAAGGCTCTGAAAAAAACCGCACAGAATTTGTATCTATGTAGTGCTTTATTAGTTCTAAGGTGACATCATAAGTGATTAAGCTAGGAAGGACAAGAGGATATCAGGATAAACCTCGGTCCTTTGGGCTCTGAAATTGAATTAAAGGGAACAGAATGGAAACAGGAAGAAAGAGAAATGTTTGAATTAAGGAGAATGGAAATAAATGTAGGGGAGGGAGGATCTTCCAGCTGCTGGCTGAAAGATCGTGGTGATGAGATGAACCTTTGAGAAAGTAGGACAGGATTCATCCTTTAAACCAGTGTTTCTCAACTTTGGCAACTCAAAGATGGGTGGACTTCAACTCTCAGAATTCCTCAGCAAGCCATAGCTGGCTAGGGAATTCTCGGAGTTGAAGTCCACTCATCTTCGATTTGCCAAGGTCGAGAAACACTGTTCTAAATCACACTCTGTTAAAATTTTTAAATGACTGCCTTCCACACAGATTAGAACAGTTTTGGGGGGAGATGGCCTTGGGAAGATATTTATGCCATGAGATCAACTCTTTCCTCGATACTGACATATTTTCTCTAAGTCCACTTCCTATCCCCAACATTATCTCTAAATTTAATCATTTGTCTTCTGACCCCATTTTCTTCCATATAAATATTATCTGCTTCCTTAAGAACAAAGAGAATGATAACCTTATATTTTTTTCAGCAAAAATAATACAATATAAACATTGTATATAAACATTGGAGCATTCTCAAACCCCTCCCATTTTGATATCCTAATCGTGAACCATTCTATTTGTTTTCATAGGTGCACAACATATGGCTCTCTAAATTTTGCTAAAGCACAACCTTTACCAATTCCAGCCAGCAAGGCCAATTCCGTAGCTGAAATTCAGTAGCATCTGTTATTTCGGACTCACTGGGAGCCACAAGTTATGAGGAGACAATATGCTAAACAAAAGAAACACTTCATTTTTTTTTTCAGAGAAACACTACATGCAATGAATCAAAGAAATACATTTTAATACATTACGTTTTCACAAACCTGTTGCAATGATGTCACCTATGATGACTTTATACGTGAAAATGGGCATATGTACTTCTCCCTCGGCTTTTTCAAATTCATATTCAGGATTAAGGTGAGCTTTTGTGCCATATTCAAGCAACAGCTGAATCGGTGTTTTGTTTGGTTTGGCTGCAATAATTTCCTCCAAGCTGTTCAACAAAGGATTAAGAATATGTAAGAAAATAAAAAATATTTAAGAATTAGTTTTTCTTTTGAAAATAACTTCTCTATTTTTCATTCATGACATTTAGAGATTAGAACCCAGAAAATGTAAAGTATGCTTCTGTGATTATACTTTTAATTCATACAAATGTGTACACTGGGAAAATAAAAAGGAATGTCATCTTATTTGTCACTAGCTGTACCCGGCCACGCGTTGCTGTGGCTCAGTCTGGTAAAAGCGTGTGTTGCTTTTACGTCCAACAGATGGCGCTGTTTTTCAAAAAAAGCATGTTTTACCTGTCACAGGTGTGACATCTATATAACATAGGTATATAAAAACACGTGCGTATTCGAATGCAACGTTGTGTAAAAATTTCAAAGCAATCGGTGAAGAACTTTCAGAGATTTAAGATTTTGAACAAACGAACATTTACATTTTTAATTATATAGATTTAGCTTAGTAAATATCAGCTGCATTTGGATATGATCCCAGAAGTATGAGAAGAGAAAGTGCAAATTAGCTGTACTGTAGAAAGACAACTTAATTTGTTTATCACATTTTTTGAACCACCCATTCTCCTTCAGAGAGCTGCAATGTGTAAGGCACATATCTGTATCTACACTATATTGTATTCACACTTCAATTTAATGTTGCCTTAAGCAATAAATTCGTCTTAATTAGGGCTGCGCAGCAATCTAGATTCAGAAAGGAAAAGGCCATTTGGAGAGTGCATAGGTACATGCCTTAATCTCTCAGAATTTCCTTAAACTAACTGCATCTTTTCCTGGGCCTGCATAGTTACACTACATGAGCACAGAAAAAGGCATCATGTTTTAAGGAAATGCAGACATTATTATATGCACATTCACACATCTATCAAATAACTTTTCTTTTTTGAGTCTACATCACGGGTCCCCAACCCCTGGTCCGTGGACCAGCAGTGGGCCAGAAACCGGGCCGCGCAAACAAGCAAAGCTCCATCCGTGGGATGCAGGCAGCACATGAAACCATGCCCCCTCTGGTACATGGAAAAACCTCTCTCTACAGAACAGATCCCTGGTGTCCAAAATCCCTACATCACATTAATTTCATTTCATTTTCTCACGCACTTATTTATAAACATAACTTTTCTACTCATAACATTTTGATGTTCATCAGGTATTACAAAATTGGGATTGTCAAACCAGAGAGTTTGTTGAAGAACTATGACATCTGCCATTCACATTTTTATAAAAAAAAAGAATGGAGTGGGTAATAAGGATTAAGTCAATTTCTCTTGTATCATCCTCCTCCATCTAGGCTCAAGAAATTATTTGCTTCCTTACAGAACACATTTAGAGTCTCCCAATGTCTCATTTTCCTCAACCATGAACTTTCTCTCTAGTGATGGCTCCTTCTAGTTATTATAAAATATTTTATTGAAAATTGGACCATAAGAAAGGCTGAGCGCCGAAGAACTGAGGCCTTTGAACTATGGTGCTGGAGAAGACTCCTGCGAGTCCCTTGGACTACAAGGTGTTCAAACCGGTCAGTCTTAGAAGAGAGCAACCCTGACTGCTCTTTAGAAGGCCAGATCCTGAAGTTGAAACTCAAATACTTTGGCCACCTAATGAGAAGGAAGGACACACTGGAGAAGGGCCTAATGCTGGGAAAGATTGAGGGCAATAGAAGAAGGGGACGACAGAGAATGAGGTGGCTGGATGGAGTCACTGAAGCAGTAGGCGTGAGCTTAAATGGACTCCAGATGATGGTAGAGGACAGGAAGGCCTGGAGGAACGTTGTCCATGGGGTCGCGATGAGTCGGACACGACTTCGCAACTAACAACAACAACAACTGCATATAGTATTTGTATGGGGATGCAATGGCTCAGTGGTTAAAGACGCTGAGCTTACATGTTCAAGACCTGAGCACCGCACGACCGGGTGAGCTCCCGTTACTTGTCCAAGCTCCTGCCTACTTAGCAGTTCAAAAGCATACAAACGCAAGTGGATAAATAGGTACCACTTTGGTGAGAAAGTAACAGCGTTCCATGAGCCTCGGCATATAATCATGCCCCGAAAGTGTCTTCAGAAAACACTGGCTCCCTTGGCTAAGAAATGGAGATGAGTACTGCCCCCTAGAGCCGGACACAACTGGACAGAGGAAACCTTTATCTTTACTTCTATTATCTGTATACCGCTCATTTTACTCACTTTATTTCATGTATATCCCATTTTTATTATTTTTATAAATAACTCAAGGCAGCAAACATCCTACACACCTTCCTTCTCCTATTTTCCCTACAACAACAACAACCCTGTGAGGTAGGTTGGGTTGAGAGAGAGAGAGAGAGAATGGCCCAAAGTCACCTAGCTGGCATTGCTGAAGGCTTTGAGTGGCTAACAATCAGAAACATCATTGGCAAAAAAAAAACCTCTGCATAAACAAACTGTAATAAATAGTAATAAAATTTCAACTGATTCATAATGGTTTTTTTTTTAAAGTCTCATGTCCATCAATGCATTCCAACATTCAAAGCATGCCTTTCTGCTGGGCTTGAAGGAAAAGCTTTTAACTAAAGAGGGAAGAGCATGGAGGAAAACAAGAACTTAGCTCAGAGAAACAGGAGTAAGGAGGAAAAAGAAATAATCGAGATTGCCCCACTTTGGGTCTCCAATATAAGAGGATGGGAAAGAAAAACACTGTCAGGATTTTAAGATATACATTCAGATTTGTATATACTGAGTCACTAAAAATGGGGGTGGGTGTATTAAGCTGGCTATACAGTAATTCAATGGTTATTGCCACACTTTTGTCAAATTCCCTGAATTAAAGCTGAAAGTCTTCACTCACATCCTGAGGGTTTCATTTCATATTCAGTATGGTGATGTATAGAGAGGCCAAATGCCAAAAAACATATCATTGTGAATGAAGGTGAATATACGTGTCCTGGGATAATGTTGCCAAATCCAATCTGGGTCAGTCATTGGGACCAGAAGTTTTGTTATCATTTATCATTATCCCAAAATATTCTGAACCTGGCTGTAGCTTACAACCTAAATCAAAAGAATTTTAGTATTTCTCCTGGTGCCTGCTTCCTGGCCTAGCCTACTTAGAAAAGCTGACATACACAGAACATAGGACTTGTCTGCAGTGTAAAGCAGTCAAAAATCTTTATATGGGTTGATGCACTGGAGCTTAAATTCTACACAAAGTCTTCTGATCATTCTGAATTAATCTTTACTTATCCATTCTCTTAATATCTTTGGGAGATCGCTGAGCTCAGACTGCTACCTCCCAATCACTATGATGATCTTCTCTTATCAACAAGACCCATCAGAAATAGAAACATAGCATTTCCTAGACATTTTTTAAAAAAATCAGATTTGCTTTGAATGCTATTAATTTTTACATTAATAAATAATAAAATAAAATTTAAACACACCAGCTATGCATAATCATGCATTAAATCCTGTGTATGGTTATTGAAAAGTAAATCTCAAATCCAATGGCACTTCTTCTCTGGTAAGTTGCACAAAGCAATTCCACAGGCCCAGGAAAAGGACAAAACTCTTTAAGAAACAGAGCTATCATTTTCCTTCACCCACTGTTTATTTAGTTTTTTACCTCTATTTTTAAAAAACACACACATACAATTGCTCCTAATGGTTGTAAATAAAGTATGACATGGTACACTTTCAATTTTTAAAGACGACTTTGCTTTTTTCAGAAACTTTCAATTAAAATATTTAAAAGCATTTTTTTTAAAATTTAGTCATAAACAAAATGGCAGTTTTATGGGTCTCAACCTTGCATGTGTTCAGCTGAGGCACTTCTATATGAAAAGATGCTCTGACATCTTAAAAACATATGGGTAGTTCAGGAGAAAAATGCATTCAGCCATGGAAGAATATTGTGCATGGAAGCTACATCTACCTTGCATGCAAATACTTATTAGCTATTCCCCACAGAATTAAAAGAAAATATCACATGCAAAGAGTATTGCCTATTCTCCCCCAACTGAAACCAAAACTTTCAGCTGGTACAACAGTCATTGGTCTCATTTGAGACAGCAATTAATCTGCATATAGACCAGGGGTAGTCAACCTTGGCTCTTTTATGACTCGTGGACTTCAACTCCCAGAATTCCTGAGCCAGCTGTGCTGGCTCAGGAATTCTGGGAGTTGAAGTCCACGAGTCATAAAAGAGCCAAGGTTGACTACCCCTGATATAGACAGAAGGTTAGAGAACTGTCCCTGTGTTGCAGCTGGAACAATCTGGAGCTTAACATGCTTAAAACTGTAGAGATGAGAGTGGATTTCAGGAGTCCTTCTATTCTACCACCTCTTTACTGTATCAAACAGTACAATATCGGCAGTAGCGTCCTTCAAGTTGTGTTCTATAATCTTCCAGGATTTGAAATGGACATCTCACATTAGAACCATCATAAAAAGGGTACAACAAAGAATGTTCTTCTTGCATCAACTCAGGAAGTTCAGACTGCCCCAGGAGCTGTTGATACAGTTCTATAGAGGAAATATTGAGTCTGTAGCACTTGTACTTCCACAACTTGTCTTGTCATCCAAACAGGATACAGACTCCAGCAGATAGTACACACTCCAGCAGACAGTTAGCACTGCAGAAAAAACAACTGCAATCAGCCTGCCTTCCATATAGATGACCTTTATATTGTGGTGGTGGTGCAGTGGTTAGAATGCAGTATTGCAGGCTAATTCTGCCAACTGCCAGGAGTTTGATTCTGACTGGCTCAAGGTTGATTCAGCTTTCCATCCTTCCAGGATCGGTAAAATGAGGATTGTTGAGGGCAATATGCTGACTCTGTAAAACCGTTAGAGAGAGCTGTAGAACACTATGAAGCAGTATATAAGTCTTATTGCTATTGCTATTGTGCAGGTCAGAAGGAGGGCTGAGAACCTATTTATAGACCCTTCACATCCTGGACATAAACTGTTTCAACTCCTTGCCTTGGGACACTGCTATATGAAATTACATACCAAACAACTAGACACAGGGCCAGGTTTTTTTCCCCTCATCCCATCATTCTGCTTAATTCTCACAATACTGTCTTATGTCTAAATATATTTATTTATTTATTTATTTATTTTATTTATTTAATTTAATTTATATGCCGCCCTTCTCCCGACGGGACTCAGGGCGGCGCACAACATATTTAAAACAAAACATAAATACATTCCCCCCCCCGATAAAACCGAATTAGATCAAATTTTAAAGTTGTGTCTCTGTCGAATTGCTAAAAAATAAACCCCATATAAAATCCTCCCTAGGTCAGGTCCGCTTGCTNGGATCTGCGGCAGAAGGCGGTCTCGGAGATAACCGGGTCCTATGCCATGAAGCGCTTTAAAGGTGGTAACTAACACCTTAAAGCGCACCCGGAGGGCCACTGGCAACCAGTGCAGCTCGCGCAGTAGCGGTGTCACATGGGAGCGACGAGTCCCTCCCAACACCGCCCGCGCGGCCGCATTCTGGACCATTTGAAGCCTACATTTACCCATGTATGGCTGTAGTATTATTATCCTTAACTTTACTATTCCCTTTTATTGATAGTATGATTCTTACTACTCTGTTGCTTTGCACGTATGCTAACAGCTTCTGCACCAGAGACAAATTCCTTGTGTGTCTAATCACACTTGGCCAAATATTCTATTTTCTACTATTTTCTCTTTTCTCTTCTCTCTCCCCCTTCCATTTTATTCTATTAACCCCAAGACCAAATTTTAACAAAAGTATTTAAGTTGAATCCATTACCCTTTCAGCTATGTAATGCTACCGAGCTAACCTTAATTAATTTTGAAAAACTCGACAGGATTAGATTCAGTTAGTCCTCGGATGAGAAACCATCAGAAAATTTCAAGGTCCGAAACGTGACTTGGAAGCCAACGCTGTCCCCAAAAGGGGCAAGAGCAAGCCATTTCCGTCCTGTTGCCATGAAAACCGTGTGGACGTCTGCATTAAGTCACAAATCGAAGGAACCCATGGAGCTACTCAACACTTAAGCAGAGCTCTTGTAAAGTGTCAAGGAAGTGGTTGGTTTTTTTTCCCCCTCCAACCTTGCTTAGAGCCAAAACCGGGGACCTTCGACAAGGAAGCCCTCTTTTCCTGCCTTCAAATTGCGCCAGATTTTTTTTGTTTTGTTTTCATTTCTAGTCTCCCTACTTTTTTCCAGCAGCAGCAGGTCCCGAGTCGGGTCCACACCCTCTCGGAAGTTTCCGGGGGAGATACGCCTATTCTGGGGGGCCGCGTCGTGTAAATGCAAGCAGCTCGGCATCTGTGGCTCCGGGTCCGGGAAGGGTGCCAGCCGCACGCGCCCCCTTTAAAAGGCGACACCCACCCCATCCCCCCCCCCACACACAAACACACCCCAAGAAGCTCCACGGCGCCCGCAGCCCCTTCCCTCTTCGCGGTGCAGATTCCCGGGCGTTTTTTTTTTTTCTCACGGTCTGCTTATGGCGGCGCCTCCACCCGCCCCGCGCGCCGTCTAACCTGGCGAGTTTCGGCTTTGCTCTCGGCGAGTTCCGCTGCCCGGACAATTCCTCCGGCGTCAAGGGCGCGCAAGGAAGAGACGCAGCCACGCTACCCCCGGCCAGCGCCTCCATGTCCCCCTGGCCAGAGCAATCTCCTCTTTGCCCGCCCACCCACTTAATGGAACACACGTGGTTCCGGTGAGTCACGTGAGGAGGAGCCCGAAGCGGGCGGGGTCTCGTTGCATGCTTTTTGCCGTTTGGGCTCTTTCGCGCTCGGTTTGAATGACGTCTTCCAACTTCCGGTTAATGGGCCAAATCCTGCCCCATCTGGGCTAAGATGGGCCAGGATTGGCCCATTAACCGTGGCTTGGAAGATGTCTCGTTATAGCATGTGCTTCCGAAAGAGCAATGGTTGCGTTGCAATGTCACCAGGCACTTGTTATTCCGCCTGTCATGGCTGACGCCGAGCGCTCGTGCTAGAAGCAGCAAAAAGAAAAATTACTATACTAACGCTTGACAATTGCCTTCAAGTGAAAAATGAGATGTTGGTTTTGTTTCCGTTTTGAAATCATGAGGAAAAAAGTAAAATTTGCCATGAAACCCAAATGCCAATGCTCTCCAGTTTCCCCCATTGTGAATAAAAATGAATTATTTTTTTTTACACTAACTCATTAATATTGAAAGTTGGATGCCTTACTTAACTCCAGGTATATGGAGAAAGCCTATATAACAACTCTGTGCTATAGATTATGCTGAGGATAAGAGTAACTTATTAGAAAACTGTAGTCTTGCTCAGTACAGGTAGTCCTTGACTTAAAACAATTTAGTGACCAGTTACAACGATGTTGAAAAAAGTGACTTATGAATGATTTTTACACTTACAACTGTTGCAGCACCTCCCTGTGGTCATATGATTAAAATTCAGACACTTGACGATTGACTCATATTTATGAGAGTTGCGGTGTTTTGGGTCATGCGATCCCCCCTTTTGCGACCTTCTGACAAGCAAAGTCAATGGGGAAGCCAGATTCACTTAGCAACTGCGTTACTAACATAATAACTGCAGTGATTCACTTAACAACTGTGACAAGAAAAGTTGTAAAATGGGCAGAGTTCACTTAATTGTCTCGCTTAGCAATAGAAACTTTGCACTCAGTTGTGGTCCTAAGTCAAGGACTACCTGTATTAACACTGCATTTTAGCCTAAATAGTGGTTTACAACATATTACAATATGGTTCATCATTAATATTAAGGTGACCAACTTTTTTACAATGAAAAGGAGGACACAAATAAATTGAAGAAAAAAATATCGTAAATAAAAGAAACATTTTATTCATTGCAACAATAATACAGAATACACTATAATATGATAAATGCATAATAAAAAACATTTGTAACAATAACATTTTATATTGTAATTATGCTTACATGCCTATTATTATTTAAATGAGTACTTTTCCATTGAATGAATATTTTTTGTCAATATATCATCTTCTAACAATATATTGGAAATATCTGAACAAGAAATATTCTTCATATTGAATTTTACGGCAAGTGCTGCAGCTAGAGTATCAACATTCAATCTCAATTTCTCACTTTTCCAAAAACCATTAGCAATTGAAAAAACTCTTTCAACTGCTGCATTAGTTCCAAGACAGCACAACGTAAATTGAACAAGAATAAATAAATTTTCACATGGAATATGTTCATTTTTGAAATGGCTGAATATTTCCACCCATCTTTTATCAATTTCAACGTGTTTATTTTCCCATTGTATTAATTTTTCAGAATTTAAAAATACATTCAGTCTTCTAATTTCTTCAAAGAGACAATTGTCGTCTATTTTAATGTCTG